AGTATATAATATAGATAACCTCAGTTCAGTTCATTTTTCTCTTCTATTCGGTGAATTGATTTTCGTTTTGTTTCTAGCTACGGACGAGCTTTTTAAGGAAACTTATTACCTACTCAATATTGAAGAGAAAACGTAATATAATATGTATCTATTGAATCGAAATCATAAGGCTTCGTAAGGTTAGGACGTAATTCGAATATGATGTTTTTATTTAGTTTTATTTATCTTAAATTTCTCCGACTTTTTCGGTTTTAAGACGATATTCATGAGTTCATACCGAATTTCACCTAAGATACCGAATGATCGGGTAACAACAGTTCATGACACCGCATAACTGACCAGAGTTCCACGTTTTTTTATTTTTTTTTATTACTCAAATGGATGGACGAGCTCACAGCCAGCCTGGCTTCAAGTAGTTATCGTAGCCCATAGACATTTGTAACGTGAATACCGTCACCCAATATACTGCCTCAATACAATAGCAGGGAGCCCATGCCCAGACAGTGGAGTTCGCCCCGAACTCCGTGACAACCTGAGTGATCCACATTTCAAACTAGACACGACCTTCATCAACGAAGAAACCGACTCAGAAGAAGAAGTTAACATGTGCTATGAATAATGATAAATAAACAAAATTTGGTGATTTACAAATTTATTTATCAATTTAAAATAAATACATATACTGAAAAAATTACCGTTTTAATTAAACTAGTGGTCCCGCAGTAGTCGAAATTCGACTATAATTAATTGGAATTGTAAGTTTATACACTATTATGATTGTATTTTATACTTCTATAATCACAAATTTCGCCAAGACTATACTATAAAAAATATTAACAAGGACAAACAATATTTAACCTATTCTCAATTTGACAACAGACGTCAAGAACAAAAGTTTGACAATAAATAGTATGCATGCGTGTGTGCGTCAAATACATGGTATGTAGTGTGTGTAATGTTTTCTTTATTGATTTAATGTATCTTTTATGCATTAATTTAAATAAATATTAGCATTGTGCACTTCTTCTCTATATTCTCTATAAGTGTGGAAAATTTCATACTCCTCCGTTCGCGCAATTTTCGTAAAAAGGGATACAAAGTTTTTCCTTCACGTATTAATATATAGATTTTCGTTTGTTAATGCTGTTCAGTTTGTTTTGGTTAATTTTAAAGGTCCCATATCTGATATTTAACATTGACGAAACTCAAGAAACAGAAATGAATTTTATTTGTATCGATCTGTAGAAATATCCGACATTCAGAGATGCTTTTGATTGCTTCAGACGGTTGTATATCGGAAATGTGATTACGGAGGGACGCAAATTTATTATTGTTATGAATTTTATGAAACATTTTGATGATACACAATGATTGATACATTTAGGCTGACAAATTAAGGATGGAAAATAAATAGTATTTTTTGATAACGTGATTACTGCTTATTTCTGTGAGAAATCATGACACGGCGGAATCTATCTATCGTATCTCACGGCGACCGCGACACGTTGCGATAATTTTTTGGTATATATTTTTTGTTTTGTTTTTTGTTGCCCTTGTAGGCAGACGAGCATACGGCCCACCTGCGGGTGAGTGGTTACCGTCGCCCATGGACTTCAGCAATGCCAGGGCCAGAGCCAAGCCGCTGCCTACCGCTTAATACTCTCCACAAGCCTCTTTTAAAGAAGGACATGTCATAGCGCTCGGGAAACACCGTGGAAGGGAGCTCATTCCATAGCCGGATGGTACGTGGCAAAATCAGGTGGACCGTATGCTCGTCTGTCTGCCGACAAGGGCAATAAAACAAACAAAAAAAAAATTTGAATTAGTATAGTTATAGTGTAAGAAAAAATGATTTTATGGTAAAAAATAGCGTGGTGTGCTTTTCAGGATGTTGTCAAAATATAGTTTTTAGTTGGATTTTCTATAAAAGCGTACTTTTTTTGTTTTTTTAAACTAATTTATTTATTTATTCTTTATTTTTTGTACACACTGTTAATATAATACAGTAATTGCGATAAGATATAAAAAATGGCGCGCTTAACTAATAAAAAAACTAATACTTATGTTTCATTTTTTAGTTGGATTTCAATTTTTTCAAATATATTTTTTTAATTATTATTTTTCAATTTTTCAAATATTTCATCTGAATCAGTCGGTAACTTATCCGAGAAATAAATAGATGATCGGCGCGCCTGGTAGTTTCCCTTCTTGGTCTTGACGCAGACACTCCGGATCCCAGGAAAACAAAAAATCCCTAATCCTGATTATCCTAGTAAGGATAACGGATCAAACCGTTTAAAATATTGAATTGTCATCGGTCCTTAATAAGTATGCCAAATTTCGAGTTAATCCGACGTTTTGAAGGGGGTCAAAATCATGTTCAAAGATTCCGTTACATACTAACACACTTATTAATAACATACGTATGAAGCTAATAAAAGCGTATTAAAAATGAAAAGAAACACGTTGTCATCCGTGTAGTCGAGATAGGAGTTTATAATACATTGATAGTTTCTAATGAACTCAGACAAAGTTCTGCAACATCTATTGAATATAATTTCCCTCATATTCGAAGCGGATGAGAAAACTTTCCGCGTATGTCAACATTCATATACAGCGTGTTCCACATTATTAATAACATTTATAACATATTAACATTTATAGCCACATTTTATTATTTAGTTCCGATTGTAAACATTATCTAAATGAAATAAATTTAACTATTTGTTGATATTGCCTGTCGTGCAATAGTTAGCGCCAAAAACTGTCTTTTGTCAAATTATTACTAAGAATATGTTCAGTTAATTATGTGTCAATTTACTTATCGAGTAACACTTGGATATTATGAAGGCTAAAATTTATCTTTTTGTGGGCAAAGCGTCGCTCATTTTGATACAGTGTGGATTAGCCTTCACGTCCTTACGGATTCATCAGATCCAACAACCCTTGCATTAGACGCCTTCAGCTCTAATACTGGAAGCCGGCTTAGGGACCCCGGTAACCGTACTCGTCGAACTCGACAAAGAGGTCGATGTGCAACCTAACCCCTGCATCAGCCCGCTGAGTTTTTCGCCGGATCTTCTCAGCGGGTCGTGATTCCGATCCGGTAGTAGATTTATCCGCGAAGCAGCTGCTGTCGAGTTTTTATGTCTCCTCCGGACGCGCTCGGGAAGCTGTTAGCTAATCTCACCCCTCCTGGCTGAGCCTTTGGTCGTCCACCTGTCCTGGTGAAACTGGAAAGGCCTCCGGGCCACTAGTACTAGCAGTAGTTTACTGGTGGTACAGAGGTGGGCCTCTTGTGATTCCGCGCGGGTAGATACCACCCTGCCTATTTCTGCCGTGAAGCAGTTAATGCGTTTCGGCTTGAAGGACAGCCAATGTAACTATACTGAGACCTTAGAACTTATATCTCAAGGTGGATGGCGCATTTACGTTGTAGATGTTTATGGGCTTCGCTAACCACTTAACACCAGGTTGGCTGTGAGCTCGTCCACTCATCTAAGCAATAAAAAAATTTAGTAAACCTTCAATCATAAAAAAATATTGGATTAGCCCCTCAGGCTGCCAGTGATAGGGTAGGGTAAAAAAAACCTGTGCGTCACAGGACGCCCGACAGAAGTGATCTAAGTTGAACTATTTTGGGCTCTCGGCCCGCTGAACGAGGGAACCGGTGGTCGTGTCGCTGGCGGCCACCGGTCCGGCGTCCGGGACGGTGGGATGGATGTAATGTGCTCTGCGTCAACCCTGTCCCGCCGTTTCAATAGCCCCGACTGAGCTCCAGCCCGGTCCGAGGTGGGGCGACGGTTGTGAGCGGCAGGAGTTTTTAGTGAGGTTCAACTCCCACATACCCCACCTGCCGCGCGGGTGGGGATCCGGCGATTTTCTCCTGTGGAAAAAAAAAAAAAGTTGAACTATTTTAATATGAAAATTGTTTAACTCGACAAAAGCTTAGGTTATTACTTAAATTTTATGTTTAATATGATAATGTAAGGAAAATTATAACATAAATTGAAAAAGATATATAAATAGTTAGGAGTTAAATACATTCTCAATACCGCTACCGTATGCGTGAGAGAGAGAAGTCAGACAGACTGGCACCGTAACGCGTTACGTAACGAAGCGTTACCCTCGTTTACGGGGTAACCTCGCATAAGAAGTAATGACTTAATTTTTTTTTTATGGCGTTATAGATATACAGCCTTTTTAGATCAGGAGCCGTATCTCCTACGTAATCTCCGGTAATCACTGAACACCAAGTGGACTAAGTGCTTCACCCGTCTAAGTAAAAAAAAATGTTGCCGACTGCTGTGATGATCTTCTTTAAAAGACTTTTGTGGAGAAACATCAGAAGTGGGCAGCCACTTGGCTGACCATAGCCTCATATGCGGATCCAGTTCATCAAAAAAATACAGATGGATTTATTTTTTGCATAATAATATATCACTTTTAAGTCAAAATTTGTGTTTCTAGCAGCCCTAAGCTAATAATTCCCTCCTTAAATTACAATTATCTTTAACGAAGACAATGAGTCAGACAGTGAACTGAACTCAAGACCTGAAGTGTATTATACAATACGTCACTAACAATCAGAACGGCGGCGAGGCGATGTGTCAATTCTGTCAGTTTCTGCTCATTGCAAAATTAACGAATTAACTAAATTATTAATAATTAATTAAATTTAACGAATCAACGTCGAGTCATACATTGATGGCTGTGATTGGCCAACGATGACGTCATATTGCACGAACCAATCACAATCGGGAAACGCAATAGTGGCACCAATTGACAAATTTAAAAATTTATAACACGAAGAAAAAAGATGGACGCGCATGTCAATTCTATTTTGTAAAATAATTAAAAATAATATAATGAGTATTTGAAGAAGTTAAACGCATTTATTCATTTTCTTGGCCAACTCAAGATACCTCTAAGAAATAGATACAACAACGAGCACCATGCTTTCTCAACGGATCGAATTAACCGGGTCGTTTAATTCTCAGGATGTTCCTCTGGCGTGCGTGGACCTTGGCCATGTGCGCGTGTGCGGTCATGGCACAGCGCATCGACCAGGAAGCGTTGTTGTCGCCCAGGCCGGCCCGAGTTCGTGACCGGGACATCAACAAGGATGAACCTACTTGCGATCAGCTCAAGGCGATGTGGAGGTGCGTAGAGTGTTAAATATATCCTCTTTATTATAATTTCATCCTCAAATCCTTGAGCTTTCAAGAGTTGTGATTCATGAAGTCCGAAAGATCAATTTCGTTATTCTATTACCTTTTTACTGCTGGTACGGTAGGCAGCGGCTTAGTTCAACCCATGGCATTGCTGATGTCTATGGGCGACGGTAAGCACTCACCGTGGATCGTATGCTCGTCTGCCAACAAAGGCATTATGTAAACAAATTGTTTACTCTCCCGTCATCCAAGCTGAGACAAACTACTGCTTTACGAGAAACCGGCAGGGTAGTGGTGCCTACCACATGACCTCCTACCATCAGTACTTACAGCGTATTTACTGTAACAAGTCTGATATGGCCAAAAATGATTAAAAATTCTAGTGATATTACAGCAGTAGCCGTATTATCAATGGATTCCTCGAAATGAACCATTCAACGAATTTGAATACCCATCTCGTAGTCTTTATTACATTTGCAGTTCAGACGAGCCGATATCCTTCTCAATGGCAGTACTTACGAAAACAGCTCATGGAGAACGTATAGAATTTTATTTGCCGTATTTTGAACCGATAATATGACTTTTGTACGATAATGTAGGCTCAATAACTTGCAGAAGTCTCTGGTCCTAGCACAACGTCTGGTAATAAACGTCTTGTTTTGTAATCCATCATGAAATTCATTTTCTAATGTCAATTTCCTTTGTTTTCCTTTAAGTTCCACCTTAAAAAGCCGCGAAACATATCTACCTGCTGATTTACCATGCGTAATGTGCGCGTACCAAACTAAATCCGTTTAATTGTATCCTCATACGAAGGTTTCTTTGCGAACAGATTCTCGAAGCGACAAGCCCGTGCTCCCGAGATCATGAACGAAGTGAGTTCCTACAGAGACCCGTTGATGTACAATGAATGGCCTGTCTACACAGCTGTGCCCAGAGCCGCCCCAAGGTATTTTCATATTTCTACCAAAGTTAAGATAAACAGTTTTATCGCGTCACTTGCGCAAAATCGTCACGGAGCAAACAAACAATGTATCGACCTATTATAATGGAGCCATCCGTCAACTTACGTCCAAATCTATGTTGGATTTTATAATGACTTCACAAACTATCTGCAAGCGTAACACATGTCACTAGTAAATTCGGATAAAGAGGTTGTCGAGCATATTGTAATACCGAGGGATTTATTTTTTTATTGCTTAGAAGGGTGGGTGAGCTCACAGCCCACCCGTTGTTAAGTGGCTACTGAAGCCCATAGACATCTACAAGGTAAATGCGCCACCCACTTTGAGATATAAGTTCTAAGGTCTCAAGTATAGTTACAACGGCTGCCCCACCCTTCAAACTGAAACCCATTACTGCATCACGGCAGAAATAGGCATGGTGGTGGTACCTACCCATGCTGACTTACAAGAGGTCCTACCACCAGTAATTACGCAAATGTGCGGGTTTGATTTTTATTACACGATGTCCTTCACCGTGGAAGTCAATCGTGAACATTTGTTGAGTACGTATTTCATTAGAAAAATTGGTACCCGCCTGAGATTCAAACACCGGTGCACCGCTCAACACGAATGCACTGGACGTCTTATGCTTTAGGCCACCACGACTTCAGGGAGTACCACTATTTCGGTCAAGAAGCAATAGTTCGAATTTCGAGGACATAATAGAAGTTATTCCAATAGATTAAACAACTTGCGCTAGATGGATACAATATCATGTGTCAAGTTGAAATACCCGATATCAGATAATCGGATCTGCTTTTTGCAAAAATCGCTCGGGCCTTCAACTTTAACTGGTACTAGGTAGGCCATATTGTAAGTCTGCATCTTGGAGACTTGGACCTTGTATGTATCTACATCCATGTTGTGATGTATGTGAGCTCCAATGTCCATTTCAAAGCAAGATTAATAATACTACATACATAATACAATTGGAACAAGGTACAATATTAAATTTGAAAGTAGAAAGTTTATCTCCGATCTAATGGAATGAACGGCCGTCTAGTGTAGTGGTAAGTGACATGGTCACTACACAAGGGGGTCGCAGGTTCGAATCCCGCCAAGGAAAGATATTTGTATGATAAATATAAATGTCTTTTCCAGGGTTATGGATGTATATTAAATATATGTATGTGTATAATAAAAATCTTACATTTATATCCGTTATCTGGTACCTGTAACACAAGTTCTTTACAAACTTACCACGGGACCAGTTAAAGTGGCGTGATTGTTAAAAAAAAAATGGCACTAGCTTCAAGAAATGTTATGCTGTTTGATTGGCAGGTTCCGCTACCAGTACCCGACGATGCCCCGCGAAGCTTACGGCAGAGTTGTTACGAAAGCTCCCCCCAACGTCGTTCGCACCCCGGATTACGATGAGGTAAGTTCAATCACCCAATAATACAATTTCGATATTGCTTGCAACTCGTATATTGCTTTCCGAAGATCGGACGGATAACCTTGACGACCCAGTTGGTCAACCGACTGGATCCCCAGTAGGATAGTGATAGGTTCTTTAGTTATTGATAGATGCTTTTTGCTATCGTACTCTGCAGTGCAATTACACAACTATTGGAACAATGACTGTATAATCAATATGATTCATCATTGTCCTACCTCTATTCCTTTAAGCAGTGGTATCTTCGAAGGCCTTCCAAAGCGCTCGGTCCCAATTTTCTCTACTTCAAATTATGCAGTTTGTCAATTTAAATTCATCCTTTCATCCACGTCGTTTCCAAACTTGAACTTGTATCTCACCGATACCTTTGATTTATAACTGTTTTGCCCTATTTTTCTTCGTGTTTCGTCAACACTATCGTGTTCCAGTTCTGGCCAGGGCCGGCCTTTTGGGTGCACTGTCCTCTTACGCACATGCGAGTAGCTATGCCAAAAAAATATGAAATCCAAATGAATATTCTTTACCTGTATTTGGAAGGCAAACGTTAGGCAACAGACATTTTTTTAGATTAACAAGTCACGGATCAAAGTTCTAAGACTTCTTGTTTGGCGACTCTCAAAAATTCTTCGGCAATTCTCGAAATTACGTTGGAGTTGTTTCAAAATCGTTTTTTTTTGTTATCACGAATTTACGTCGATCGGTTATTTAGAATTTTGTCGTTTTTGTACGGCTTCACTTGTTTTTTTGATGGCCAGCTTTAAGTTGTTGGGTTTCAGTTTTGTTTAGGCACCGTTAAGTTCGGTGTAGTGTACCTGCTATTTTTAGCTGTGGCATAAGTAAGGCTCTCTACGCTAAGATACTAAAATGGAAGTGGGCTGAGCACGTAGCGAGGCTAAAGGATGAGAGATGGACCAACAGGGTAACAACGTGGAAGGGTCCAATAGGCAAACGCCGGAAAGGCAGACCCCACATGAGATGGTCAGACGAGCTAATAAAAATAGCTGGTACCCGCTGGCCACAAATAGCCCAAGATAAAGATACATGGTATTCTTTAGAGGAGGCCTTCACCTTCATTTGAGAAGGGTTCATGTAAACAAACTTTTATATTTACACACTATAAACTTTTTTTAAAAGCACTATCTACATTTATATTTTTTTTAAACGAGGGGAGGGAGGGAAGAGGGATGAGAGGAGGAAGGAGAAAAGGGCAAAAAAGTGTAAACAGCATCACTATAATTTTTTCTTCTTTCCTTTTTTCTTTTCTTCTTTATAATTTCTTCTTCATACTTGAAACGTGTATGTAACCTATTATTTGCATGCAATAAAAGGCTTATTATTTATTATTATTTATAAGTAAGGCTCACGATTTTTTAGCGGTAGGCAGCGGCTTGGCTGTGCTCCTGGCATTGCCGACATTCATGAGTGACGTACGATGGTGAGTGGTTACTCACCACCGTACGTTCGTTTGCCGACACAGGCAATAATGACAACCACTGATAAATTATACGAAAATTACATTATTAGTCTGAACATTTTGAGTCTGGTAAAGCACTACATAGTATAAAATATACTAATATTATAAAGAGGAAAGATTTGTTTGTTTGTTTGTTTCGAAGAGGCTCCGAAACTACTGGACCGATTTGAAAAATTCTTTTTCCATTAGAAGCCGACATTGTCCCTAATGAACATAGGCTACTTTTTAAAAAAAAAAAAATATTTTATTTTTTTGGTTTCATGTGTGTTTTAATGTTTCCGAAGCGAAGCGAGGGCGGGTCGCTAGTAATAGATAAAGTGATTGAAGAAGAAGGTTTATATGTATAATAACATCCATTAAATAGTGGAGAAATCAATAATAAATTACAGTTTACGAAGCGAAGCGAGGGCGGGTCGCTAGTTCAATATAACATTTTGTTTCTAAATTCTGTTTGCGAAAAAAATTAGCCCTCGAAGGTTTTCGTTTAGAGACTTATTAAAAAAGTTCGACATTCTTTATGAAACTTCGAGTATTTCGTGCATCAATCGAGTCACGTTGTGGTTATTTTAATTTGACTTGTATTTTCATTTCGTTGGATTCCCTAGAAGTGCCGTATTGGGTTCCGTAACAGAACTTTTTCTAAATAAATTTTTTTCTAATTTCAAACTAAGCGCCGCGTAACTCACCGGTGCCCTAACTGACGCACTGAAGTGACCTTTTTTTTTATTGCTTAGGTGGATGGACGAGCTGATGTTAATTGGTTACTGGAGCTACAACGTAAATACGGCAGAAATAGGCAGGGTGGTGATACCTACCCGTGCGGACTCACAAGAGGTCCTACCACCAGTAATTACGCAAATTATAATTTTGCGGGTTTGATTTTTATTACACGATGTTATTCCTTCACCGTGGAAGTCAATCGTCAACATTTGTTGAGTACGTACTTCATTAGAAAAATTGGTACCCGCCTGAGATTCGAACACCGATGCATTGTTCCACACGAATGCACCGGACGTCTTTATCCTTAAGGCCACGTCGGGTTCAAAATCGAAATCAAAATCGCTTCAAAATCTATTCCATTCACTTGCAGATGTTCGGAATGCTGAATGTTCCGCACACTTCTGGAAAGATCCTGAGGTACCCCGGACCTTCTCGTCCCCGTGGGGGAACCACATACATGGTGCCACCACAGCGTGACAGGTATTCAAATTAAATAAATATTTAATGTTTAAAAGAGAGATAGCTCCAATTTGTTTATTTAATTAGTAGCAATCCCTTATTTAGTAACTATATTAGTAAATTGAATTTGGGGGGTATTTGCTGTAGAGAATCTACATTAACTAGATATTATGTTGTACCAACAAAGTGATCAGAATATCAATGAATCGACAAGAAGATACATGATTAAGGTCACCTTAATTACACGTACAGGTAACATTGTAACAATTGATAATTTCTTCAAATAAAAATAAGGCAGTAATAAGTATACAAAGGAATAAATATAAAAACTAGATTAATGCAATTTCACCTAGCTAACAAGGTTCTGAAAAATAACAGTTAAATTCGTGGAAAATCAAAATATACGTCGTGGAATATATGACCTATGATAGATAATGACGTGTATTTAGACGTTGTAAAGACAGTAACGCCATTATAATTTTTCGGCATAGACGTAGAGAAAGATCTTTAATTTTAAGACCTTGTTTCGAATGCTTTGGAATCGTTCGAACGCTGTTTCTAGAATTATCTAGAATCGAAAACATGTATGTATGGTAAGCGACGAGAAGCCAGTATTTACGGACGACTTATGCAAAGGGTCTACATTCAGAACGGCACTGTCGATTTACCCTGGACTAATGAGTACTAGATGATGACCGAGCTTTGCTTTTTTTTTTTTATAACGCCTTTTTATTGTTTCTTTAAAGCAGTTAGTTTCTCTCAATTAAGAAAAATAGTATTATTATTCGCCAATAGATGTCTGGAAGAGTCATAAAGTTGATTATTGAAAACACGAAAAAAACAACATTTTCTGAAAATAAATCGTAGCTAGACCGATTTATCGCCCCCGAAATCCCCTGTATACTAAATTTTACGAAAATCGTTGGAGCCGTTTCCGAGATTCAGATTATATAGATCAGAATTGCTCGTTTAAAGGTATAAGATTCTGGAGAGTAAATCAGAGATAATTATTTTTTAAAGACTTTTATTACGAAGAAAACATTTCGAACGAATGCGAACGATCGTAGCGAAGGTCGCTCGGTCAACCCTAGCGCTATCCAATGTGTAATAACACGCTACACTGAATCTCTATGGATTTTATTTTTCAAAATGTGCACTCTCTAAGACCCACAACCGAAATAGGCAGGCAATGACGTCACAGAATTCATTGACTTAGAAGAATCTACTATCAGCTTTGTCTCTTCCTCAAATACAAGGAACACTTCGCTTCAATAGACTTAAGCACACGCTGTGGGTTTTTATCGTACTGGTTTCAGTGAGTACTTTGTGCTCAATGGATATTAAAGACTGGATAAAAAAAATAAAAAAAAATTCGAATTAGCTAAAGGACGTTTGAAGTGACAATTACTCTTTATGGGCAAGCGCGTTTTCAGAATTACGTGGGAATTTTATTAAAAAATGTGACAAATAATTTTCTAAGCTCGTAAAAAAGTTATCGATAATATATTTTTTATTGCTTAGATTGGTGGACGAGTGGTGAAACTGGTGTCAAGTGGGTACTAAATACCATAGATAGGTACAATGTAAATGTCGCCAACTACCTTGAGACAAGTTTTAAGGTCTGAGTTTTTACAGTGCAAGGACTACTCCACCCTTCAAACTGAAAGACATCACTGCTTAGACTGCACCCAGTGTGCTCACAAGACGTCCTACCACCAGTGAACAACATGACCTAACTATTTTATTTTATTGCCCGTGCAGGCAGACGAACACACGGCCCACCTGATGGTGAGTGGTTACCGTCACCCATGGACTTCAGCAATGCCAGGGCAGAGCCAAGCCGCTGCCAATTGCCTGTCCGCATTTTATTGTAATATCTAAATTATTGTCATTTCTCAACAGATTCGAAGCCCTGAAGAAGCTCATAAGGCAAGAGCACGTGCGTGAGCTTCATCGGAAATACGAGACTGAACAGAAGCAAGAACTGAAGGACATGACTACCGGACATAAGTGAGTATTTCCTTGATTGTATGACAGAGAGCGCGCCGTCCCTTTACCTCAGGACCTCATATTATTATACATAATATGTAAAGAATAAATTTTATCATTTAAAAACCTTTAAAACTCTTTAGTTTTAAAAAAGAATTTTCTTAGACGGAATCACTCACCAATCATTCAATGATAATTGTAAATAGACATGCTTTTACAAAAACCGACTTCAAATAGAAAAATAAGTTAATCCAAAACAAATGAATATACACTAAAAATAATAATCATCGAAATCGGTTGGTGTGATATTGAGTTATTCATCTATTTGTCGCGCACGTACATAATGCAAATTTAAGACTTATATGGTTTTCTCATGGATACAATTATCAGAACTGGACTAAATTGAAATAGGACCACACGGAAAGCATCAGCTTTCTAATAAAAAAAGAATCATCAAAATCTATACACCCAGTCAAAAGTTATGAGGTAACAAACATAAAAAAAAGATAGTCGAATTGAGAACCGCCTCTTTTTTTGAAGTCGGTTAAAAAGAGTTATAATATTTTAAAGAGTTATAATATAAATATAATTAAAAGAGTTATAATATTTTATATTGAATAGTATTTAATTATTAGTGTTTAAAATATAAATTTTAAAAGAGATTAAGGGCTTGAAATGTTGGTTATGTTGCTTTCTTATTATATCACAGAAAACGCAATTAAATATTTTATTGTTTATTCATTCATTATACATATACAAATCTAACGGCATATATATATAGCCTTCAATGCGAAGGGACTAGAGCCGTGAGCACTTTTTAGTGCCCCAAGCATACGGATTACCAGTCACCGTCGCCCAAGGTCATCATCAAAGAACTTCTAGGCTACTCTCTACTAGGACTACTCCGCCAGCAGTGGGAACTCGTCGACGTCTAACGGACTTGACAAAGCTGGCGTCTTAATAACTTGAAATGCGACTGCGTGAGCCACTCTGACAGATATAAACACGATGACAGTAATTCCGCGTCAACATTTCAATGGCAATAAGGACTTTTTGGCGGGAACGCGAGGAGTGAAGTTGTGTGATTTGTTTTATTTTATCTATTTCGTGTTTCTTCAGGTTTAAATGTGCAATAACGGTGGTTTATTAACTGTTTAATATCTGTGAAAGTGCACAAATGTGAGAAAATGAAACAAAGCTGCTGGACGTAACTTCTCGGGTTCCTCCAAAATGTCCACTGAAAAAATCTCAGTAAATGACCACCATTTTATTGCGATTATATTTCATCCCATATCATCTCATTTCATTTATTTCCATCCCAGTTGATTAATGTCTCAAATTAATCATCTTCATTTCATTTCATTTCATTTCACTCCATTTTATCATTTTTCATAAAAATAAGAATAAGAATTAAAATAAGACATGACTTAAAGGTCTTAGTTACCAGGTCATAAAATCCATTTAAAAATCAATGGCAATAAAAACGCGGGAACAAATGAACAATTTTCTTCATTGTGAGTTCGCGTCACCGACATGCCTAATAGCAATATATTTGTAGCTGTGCATGTGACGTATCGACCATTTCGACAAAGCAGCACGGCACGAAAACCCTCGCATTGTGGCCGCCGGTAACTACATTCCCGATTCTGCGAACAGAATGGAAAGCAGTCGACGTCGCCCAAAACACGTCATTTCGGATGCTCCCGATCCACTAACGGTGCTTTTAGGTACCTCAAGCATCGGTCATCGTTCTCGTCAAACCCGTCGCTTGTGACGAAGGGCTCGGCGGGTAAATTAACCCACAGACACAGCCCACTGAGTTTCTCACCGGATCTTCTCAGTGGGTCGCGTTTCCGATCCGGTGGTAGATTCATTCGCGAAGCAGCTGCTCTTGCTAGGTAGGGTTTGTGTTAGCAACGTCGTCAGGTTTGAGCCCCGTGAGCTTACCTACTAGTTAAGGTTACGCTGAAATAGCCTCTCAAGGCCATCAGCTTAGGTAGGGAAAAAAAGCTGTATTAAAAGCAGTTACTAGTGGCACCCCCCCGACCTCCTTTCCCAAGGGATAGCAGTTAGACCAACAAAATTAAGAGTCCGTCTTCATGTCTCGAGGTGCCTGGTGAAAGTCACGTTATAATGCCTATGGGCTCCAGTGTGCTTAGTACTTAAGCTGATAGCTAAAGTAAAAAAATATATGCAACGTTTATTAATATTTTATTAAATTATAATATTATTAAAATCATATTTAACTGACAGATATCAAAGGGTTGAAATAGACAACATATGTCCACTGAGTAGGACAGTACAAAGCTATCACTCAAATTGGATGAAAATGAAATTCGGTGTACCTCAAGGCAGCGTACTAGGGCCGCTCCTTTTTCTAATTTATATTAATGACTTCCCTAAAGCCATAGAACATCCGATGATTCTCTTTGCCGATGATAGCACCGTCATCTTTACAGAAAAAGAATTAAATTCCTTAGAGTCCGCTATTAACACTACTCTTAAGCTAGTTATAGAATGGTTATTAAGAAACAATTTAGTAATTAACCTAAATAAAACAAAAATTGTCACATACCCACAAGAAATACAACACTCTTTGAAAATAGAATATGATGGGACACATATTGAAGAAGTGAATAGTACTAAATTTCTGGGTATTTGGATTGATAATGATATGAAATGGCAAACACACATTGATACAATATGTAAAAAATTAAACCAATATACGTATGCCTTGTATAAGTTAGCGAAAGTAGTAGACCAATCAGCTGTACTGACAGCTTACCATGCATATGTGGCGTCAACCCTTAGATATGCTTTAATATTCTGGGGAAATGCCACTAATACAGAGTACGTATTTAAAGCACAAAAGAAATGTGTGCGTGCTATAGCAAACATTCATGTACCAGACTCATGTAAGCCTTTCTTTCAAAAGTTTAAAATCATGACTTTTACATCGTTATATATTTATGAGGTAGCGATTTTTGTCAAAACGAACAAACATCTGTTTGCAAAACCGCAATCTGTTAGGAATACTTTAAAGATCTCTTCGCTACCTCATAGAACTGCCCTTTACGACAAGAGTTTTTTTAGTATGTCATCAAGAATATTTAATAAACTACCAATAAAAATTTTGAAGACAGTAGATTTACAAGATTTTAAGCAAAAATTGCAAGTATTTTTAATAGATAAGGCTTACTATAGTATGTCAGAATATTTAGACGATAACTTTAGATAATTAAGATGATAAAGTAGAATTATTTAAGTTTTATTTTTTATTTTTATGTAGACTTACACCTAATATTTGTACGCTTTACTAGCAGGACATAGTCATACATTTATTAATATTAGCTTATTAATCTTTGTTAAACTATGACCACAAATAATAATAAAATAAATAAAAATAAATAAATAAACGTTATCCACGAACGGATCCGGGAAATTTTCGTATAGCCAAAATAACAATAGAGATCCTTCTTGTTAAGAAACCAACGCTCGCCGAAACTTCAACTAATTCAGCGCTAAACGAACCGCGATTCCATTTATTCAAACAAGTTAAGTTAATAAGCAAGCTAAATTTACAACAAGGCTTTATGTGATCGCAACTCTGAGGTTACATAATAAGATCTTCGAGCCGTAACAGAAGTCGTTAAATTAAAAAAATGTTATAATAATATGTCTTGTTAGCACGAACAAAAGATAAATATTAGCGTTCGTAACACGATTCCACCTTTTAAAGTGAACGGGAATAACGTCTCGTTAAATCAAAAAGACTTCGCTGTTCTTAAAGTACCTGCTCTACTATAAGCTATAAACTAGATGCTAGATGAAAATAAAAGATGCTATTTTTTTTAAATTACATAGGTTTTTTTTATTGCTTAGATGGGTGCACGAGCTCACAGCCCACCTGGTGTTAAATGGTTACTAGAGCCCATAGACATCTACGACGTAAATGAGCCACCCACCTTAAGATATCAGTTCTAAGGTCTCAGTATAGTTACAACGGCTGCCCCACCCTTCAAACCGAAACGCATCACTGCTTCACGGCAGAAATAGGCAGGGTGGTGATACCTACCCGCGCGGACTGACAAGAGGACCTACCACCAGTAATTACGTAAATTATAATTTTACGGGTTTGATTTTTATTACACGTGTTTATTATGTTATTCCTTCACCGTGGAAGTCAATCGTGAACATTTTTTGAGTACGTATTTCATTAGAAAATTGGTATCCGTCTGGGATTCGAACACCGTTGCATCGCTTAACACGAATGCACCGGAGATATAGGTTGCATAATAGGTTATATACAAGTTCCGAACAACAACATTCGGACCGTCGGTCTACCGAGGAGTATCACCCGCTCAGTGAAAGATCTTTACCTCTGTCGTTATTCATTCCAAAGAAATATAGTTTACTTTAAGTCAATTTAGGGCCATCTATTGTAGTCTCTGTCTCTACTCTCTCTTATATATCTCTTTCGAAAGGATTTCATAGCGTCCCGCTGTTCGCTCTGTCTAGGACCGGTACGGCATGTGTTTTTTTTACATTCCTAATCTCAAAGCCCGCGCTTTCGTCTCATGAAATCTAATGATGTCTTCACAAAAGAAAAAACAATTGAACATTGCCTTTGTTGATTAATGTTTGTTTCATTCTTTTGTGTGTGTTTTCTTTGATTTCTTTCCATTTTAATTCACGTTATTGCTGGTAAGACGTTTTGTGAGCCTACGTGGGTAGGTACCACTACCCTGCCTATTTCTGCCGAGAAGCAGTAATGCGTTTCGATTTGAAGGGTGGGGCAGCCGTTTTACTGAAAACTGAGACTTGGAATTCATGTCTCATAATGGATGACGGCATTTACGTTGCTAACGGCTATGTGCTTCGATGACCACTTAACAACAGGTGGGCCGTGAGCTCGTCCATACATCTAAGAAATAAAAAAGTTGTAAACCATTGATAGCCGACCAGCGTGAAGTAGTCCTTATTGCTTAAGGTAAACTAATCCACGACCCAACTAGTGTTAAGTGGTTCACGGAGCCTGCGAATATCGAAGATAGACCTACCTTCAGACATATAAACCTTATATGCTGTTTTATGTCCAGAATTGTCTACTGTCCCACCCTTCAGGAAAATAAGGGCCCAAATAGGTGGAATGGTAAACTGAGCTCACACTATCCTTTACCACGGCGTCCCAGATAGATTTCCGATCAGAATCAGTATCCTTGTTGAATACATTTTCGCGCTTAGATGTACTTTTATCTCGCACGTGTATCTCTGACACACTGGAAACCCTAGATCAGAGCTGCTGCGTGCGGAATCTTAATGTATCTATATACCTAACGTATTAACTTAATGTATTTAACGGCCGTCTGGTGTAGTGGTAAGTGACATGGTCACTACACAAGGGGGTCGCGGGTTCGAATCCCGCCAAGGGAAGATATTTGTATGATAAATATAAATGTCTTTTCCAGGGTTATGGATGTATATTAATATATGTATGTGTATAATAAAAATCTTACATTTATTTCCGTTATCTGGTACCTGTAACACAAGTTCTTTACGAACTTATCACGAGACCAGTTAACGTGGCGTGATTGTTAGTAAATATTTATTTATTTATTTTTTATTTATTTACCTAAACACTATATAGAACATAGATTAAACATAGGTAGAACTCGTTACATAGAACACAACTCATTAGAAACTTTTATCAGCTTTCAAAAAGTTTTCCAAGCGAGCTTTCTGTTTTCGGCCTTTGATTTAAAATCGTAACAATAAACTTTCTTCTTTTGTTAAAGTTCCCTTTATTTATTATAAATAGCCCGAATCGAGAATAAAGTGCTTTTGAAAGCGCTTCTATCTGACTTTTGTACAAAATCTATACTAATATATAAATCTACAGTGGTTTTTACGGATGCTCCGTTATAACTACTGAATCGTCCATCCGATTGACTTGAAACTTGGTATCCATGTAGAAGATACATGTACTTAATGGATAGGCTAATATTTAAATAATAAATATTTACTAACAATCACGCCACGTTAACTAGTCCCGTGATAAGTTCGTAAAGAACTTGTGTTACAGGTACCAGATAACGGAAATAAATGTAAGATTTTTATTATACACATACATATATTTAAGATACATCCATAACCCTGGAAAATACATTTATATTTTATCATACAAATACCTTCCCTTGGCGGGTTCGAACCCGCGATCCCCTTATGTAGTGACCATGTCACTTACCACTACACCAGACGGCCGTTAATATCAGTGTATTTATATGAGTGTTGGACTCCCAGTTGCGGGGGCATTAATGATAAGAATCTTTGTGGGGGTGAGAAGTAATAAAGTTAATTTTAAATGCCCAGCGAAGCAGTCGGGTACAGCTAGTCATTTAATATTAAGAAACTTGAAAACGTTTGATTAACATGAAAATGTGTAGACTTATCAAGGACTCATTATGATATTATTCACTCATCAATAAATCGTTAGCGTGTATAGCGATAATCTACAAACTAGACTAATCTCTAATAATAATCGGTATAGTCCTTCCGAAGAAAAATAACTACAATAGCCGAGGATTTATCAAAGTATGCAGATGTGAATTGTTTCCGGTTCTTATTATTACTATCCCTATTTATCCTGTTATTATCTCGGTCACATAAATAACCTGGTGATCGATGGCGTTGCTGATAATCTATCTTCTATCTATATATAAATAGTTTAAATAGTTTGTCTCGCTAAAATTCGAGAACGGCTGGACCGATTTGGCTAATTTTGGTCTTGAATTATTTGTGGAAGTCCAGAGAAGGTTTAAAAGGTAGATAAATATGAAAATACTCGGAATTGAATAAAAATAACAATCATGTTTTCCCTTTGATGTGTCCCCCGTCGGACGGATTCCTTTTGTTTGTTTTAAGTTTATTTTATACAAAAGTTAAGGTTTTTCTTATTGATCGATTGAGGCACTACGAAGTCTGCCGGGTCAGCTAGTCTATTCATATAAAAATAATTGCCCATTATGGGAATCGGATTCACGACCCTCAGTCCGCAGTCAGGAGCGCTAACTACTCAACTACTACTGATGATAGCCTTATGAGGCTATGTCAGCGTAACGGGGCGAGTAGGTGAGCTCAAGGGGCTCAAATCGGGAGTGTTGCTAACACTGGCCCTAGCAAGAGCAGTGCTTCGCAGAATCTACCACCGGGTCGGAAACGCGACCCGGTGAGAAGATCCGGCGAGAAATTCAGTGGGCTGTGTCTATGGGTGAATGAAGTTGGGTTGAAATAAGCAGGGTGGTGGTACCTACCCGTGCAGACTCACAAGAGCTCCTACCACCAGTAAACTAAACAGTAAAAGTTACTCGTCCTTGCCCTTCGTCGCAAGCGACGGGTTCGGCGGGGACGGTGAGCGATGCTTGAGGTACCTAAAAGCACCGTTAATGGATCGGGAGGATCCGTAATGACGTGACATTGGAACTCGAATTTTAATAAGATCCCTGTTACATTTCAGCAACGATGACTACGTCTATGGAGCATACGGGGAACAGGAACCTCGTGGTCTGCAACCGCTTCAGGTCCCGGAATACTCTGAAGAGTCCTCGGCCAGGCACTCCAAGTAGGTACCGAAGACTTGGCACCAACCAGCCTTGGTTAAATGCCGCCAGTATACTCTATCCCATTTAAGAAGTCCCTTTTGACACTTGTTTTGACCTTAGAACGTAACTCTTCACGTTTCGCATAGTTTGAAATAATAATCATTTTTTTGTTCACGGTCATAAACATCATTTAAAAAATACACAATCTATCTAAATTATTACTGGTGGTAGGATCTCTTGTGAGTCCGCGCGGGTAGGTACCACCAACCTGCCTATTTCTGCCTTGAAACGGTAATGCGTTTCGGTTTGAAGGGTGGGGCACCCGTTGTAACTGTACTTGAGACCTTAGATCTCATATCTCAAGGTATGTGGCGCATTTACGTTGTAGATGTCTATGGGCTCCAGTAATCACTTAACACCAGGTGGGCTGTGGGCTCCTCCACTCTTCTAAGCAAAAAATTCAAACATAATAATTACATTGGTCTCATGGGACTTTGTAATTGGAATATAGTTTTGTTATTGGCGATCAGCCTATTACACACCCAATGAATTCCAGGAAACCTCCATCCGGAAGCCGCCAAGTCTCCCAGTTCTCTCGCTACTCGGACGTGTTGCTGCCCCCGGTCCGCCGCACCTTCTACCACCCTTACATCGAGTACACGGCCCCCGAATACATTCCCTACGTGTACTGAGCGCTCACCCAGACAACCGACGCTTTCCAGAAAACTCTCGAAGCTTTATTAAATACAGTTACCATATCGAAGGCATATCTTGGCTCTTGCTTCGATTTACTCCGCGAGCTTCCTCTGCGTTCTATTTTTTATAATAAATACTTTCTTATAGTAGTTTCTTGTTATAGTTAAGGCAGTGCCGCGTGATTTTCTAGTTAGTGTGCGTGAGAGATCGTTAGAGATACGAAGAAGCGAACTATTCTCGGCTCCGACGAGTCAATTTGTGAGATTATCGATTAAAATTTCGCACATCAACCGATGTCGCGCGTCACTGCTTCGACTTGACGTTTTGAATCGTATTTTTCGATAGATGTAAGATTTTATGAAAGTCGCCATCGACACGTATGTAGGTACCTTATAATACTTCCCTAATTATGATGAGACGTATACAAATAAATACGAGCAATTATATTTGACTTCGATGTCAATTTGACTTATTATGATTGCGAATTTTCGACAATAATAATACAATTCGACAATAATATTGTAATTTGACAATAATAATATCGTAATTCGACAATAATGTTTGTGCGTTTACATTTGACGTTTAGTAGGATTTAATTAAGTATTTTAAAATAGACTTTTATTAAAGAGTAATAAATCTTTTTTGGATCTTGGTAGCCATTACAGGCTTAGTTTAGTTATAGATAATGTTTCGGGCAAAGGAATTTGTTTTTGCAAATTTTTATTTGTGTGTTAACATAAAAACAAACTTTTAGGTTAGTTTGATGTTTCTTATTTATTTATATACACCCAAACAATGCTTTTATTTTATTAATTTTTATTATTCTTATTTTATTAAAGTCATTTATCTCATTATTTGTCTTATAAAGCGCAGCCTGCATAATTAGGCATGAATATAATAACAATAACTAATATATTATAGCATGAACTATATAACTATTTACAACATGAAATTTCATTAATTGTTGTGATTAGAATCTAAGAAGGAAATGTATTAGAAATATATATATTATATACATAAAATATTCAAAATTATGTCTATTACCAAAAGCCAACGGGACGGCTGTGTCGGTTTCGGTAGCAAATAACTTTTTAATGAGTACATAGCGACTCTGTTTTTAAGCCAGTTCCTGAAGTTTTTTTTTTTCTTTAAGCGCAGTACAAAATTTGTAATACATAATTAATTTTATTTTAGACGTTAATTCACACACTCGCCAATATTTTTTAGATATTATAAGAGCAATTTAATAGGTACATAGAGACTCTGTTTTTAAGCCAGTTCTTGAAGTTTTTTTTTCTTTAAGCGCAGTACAAAATTCGTAATACATAATTAATTTTATTTTAGAAGTTAATTCACACACTCGCCAATATTTTTTAGATATTATAAGAGCAATTTAATAGGTACATAGAGACTCTGTTTTTAAGCCAGTTCTTGAAGTTTTTTTTTTTTTCTTTAAGCACAGTGCAAAATTCGTAATATTTAATTTTATTACAGAAGTTTATTCACACACTCGCCATGATTTTTTTTTAGATATTATGAGAACAATGAATACCGGTTAATTAAAGTTTCCTGCGCGTTACAATCACAGTTAAATTTACTTTTAGATATGTGTATGTAAATTAAGTGCTTACATTACGTACCGTGAGAATTTGAATATTGAAATAATTATCTTATCTTTTATCACGCTGTTGCTTGTTTCTTTATTTTTCGTTTTGTAAATAATCCGTTATCTAGTTACTGTTCTCTTAGTGTTTATTTTTCAATTTATTTCCTGTTTTTTTATTGTCACTTCACGAATGTGTTTAGAGTCATAAAAAAAAATGTAACCGAATCCCGACGGATATATGCTTTAACTAACCTTTATATAATATGTCACGTTCGTAATTGTAATTTAATGAAGAAGAAAAAATGGCGTAAAATACGCAACTTCTTTCACTTCGAGTAATATCATTCTCTAGTCATAGACTAAATAATGCATTATTTGATGATTCCGTGATAATTTCAAAAATGCATTTTTTTTATTTATTCTTTTTCACCCGCCCTGATTTCGAAGGCTGTACGTTTAAGGTTATTGTTACCTATTTGTGTACTATATTTATGAAATCAATTTAAAAATATATGTAAGTACAGACTCTGTATGTCTTACATAAACTCACAGACTATATTTGGCTTTAAAAAAAATTATATTAACACATGGCTTTAAGCAGGTCAATGTTCTATGATCGTCTATAAAATAGGACTAAACCTCCTTACACGTTACTATTATATGGTATAACTAATATATATATTTATTTATTCATTTATATATCATAATTTTCTAACAATATTCCTTAGAAATTTTACAAGTTTATTTTAAAAAAGGAAAATTTTAAAATCATTATTAGTTAGGTAGTTTGTAAAACATTGTGTAGTGAAAAATGTAATGCGTATTGCACTTTTAATATATATATAGGTGTTTAATGAATATATGAATATCGACTATGTAGATTCGCAGTTACATATCAATGCGAAATGCTTCAACCATATCGCATATCATATCTGTTTAATATTAATCAATTAATAATTAAAAAAACTATCTCTGGTTAACTCTATTTAATATAAATCAATTAAAAATTAAAATGAATAATCTCTGATTAAAAATTGCGACTGCGAATTTTACCATTATGACAATAAATGTGGACAATAACCGTCACTATTACAAGAAATTATGACAATAAATGACAATAAATGTCAATTTGACAATAAATGTCAAAATGGCGGACGGCTTGTCTTTAAAATTATACAATAACTATGTATCTAATGTTAATAATATGAATATTTGAAGTTTTTTTTTTTAAATAAAGATAGTTACTTACTCCTGAGCATTGTGTCTTTTTATTTTTAAAGTCCCTTTGCAAAGTGTGCTCATGGCTGCTCATAATTGACGGCATCAATAAATTTATGAGTCGAAACAGGCTGTATACCGGAGTTCAGAGCCTAAATAACGAGACTTGCTGAAATATTAAAATCCAATATGAGTAACTGAGCTGTTGCCCGCGACTCCGCGTGGAATAGTTACTTTGGATAACACTAAATTTTACCCCCCACATCATTTACGTAGAAATTGAAGGTATTTTTGAATTATAGAATGTTAAGGAGCTATTTAAACCCCTATTTTGAAACATTATTTATCGGTGCTCGACTTGTATTGGAATTACCGTAATGTTATATAGCCTATAGCCTTCCTCAATAAATGGGTTATCTAACACTGAAAGAATTTTTCAAATCGGATCAGTAGTTCCTGAGATTAGCGCGTTCAAACAAACAAACTCTTCAGCTTTATAATATTAAATTAAGTATAGATGTACTTAGTGCTCTGTTTGTACAAAGAAACATTGCAAAAATGCCGCTTATACCACCCCTCGACATTATTAAATAAGATCCTGCGCAGAACTTAGCAAGTTCATTGAACGTTAGCAACAAATTTCACATCTTACCCCCATGAGAGATTTTTAAATGTGTTTTAGGAATTTCAAGTATAAAATTATTGTGTTTCATATCCAAAAGGATCGGACCGGCCGCACCGGACATCAGTTAGAGAAGCCTATGTTCAGAAGTGGACAGTAGACAGGCTGAGAAGATAATATCCAAAAGAGCTATCATAATGTGATTTAACATTTGAAAACTTTCTTTTTTGTTAACAATTGTTTTTTTTTTTTCATAGCCTGGTAACGAAATCTTTAAGCCAAGTCTTATTTCTCCTTTTATTCTGTTATATAAAAAATGATATGAAGAGAAATGAGATTAATGAATGATTAATGAATTATATTAAGTTGCTTGTTTTGAGACATTAATCGATTGGGATGAAATTGAATGAAACGAGATGAAATGGAATGAATGAAATAGCCTTACCACTATATTCACATTTCGTGAGCTCCCGATAATTGAGCGTGTTGCAAGCGCTTTGATTATGGATAGACTGCGGGTAGGATGTTAGAAAAAGACAAATGTATCTACCCTCGTGCTAATCCTTTTGTTAGTGCTATCACTGGAACTCGGTGACTCACCCCGACATACGGTATCGACAGTGTTATATAGTTGTATTCCTTGTCGCTCAAGGTCGAGGTACTATCGCGAGGATAAAATTCACGGATGTATATTGGCGTACGCAGTCGCGGGCTTGCAGTCTCGGCCGCCTTAGGCCCCAAGCCATCAGCCGCCTCTTTTCTCATCGTCCACCATGTAGACTACATAATGAAATTACTTTAATGCCGACTTTTATCTAAATAGATTTAGAAGTTTGGGAAAAAAAAAAGTTTTATTTCTCAACAATATGGTACATAAGTTGTTACAACTAGTTATTTGCTCTAACATACTCTGCCAACTTGGCATACTTGGTTATGATAACTTTTACACGAGTGTTATCAACTTTCAACCCTTATCTACGAGTTAAGCATTTTAGTATCTAATTAAACACAATTAATTTGTACGGAGCTACTTGTTATCGCAAGTGCGGGTGTGAAGTGTGCGTAGAAGTAACCATAAGTTTAGTATAATAAATAATAATAATAATAGCTGAGATGGTAATAGAGTATTTAAGGATGTGGTATAGATTGCATCATGCAGTGCAGTCCGTCCGCCTTACGTTATAATAAGGTTTTTGACACGATTGGGGCCGCCCCTAAATCTGGCCGCTCTAGGCCCGGGCCTACCGGGCCTTAGGGTAAATCCCCCACTGGACGCACGCCTGTCCCGTCCTATCCGGCGATTCAGAAAGCATCGCAGATGGTCGAGTTAAGGGTGCTGCGGTTTTAATCAGACCATTGGCTTCGTGCGTCGGGCTTCAGCCATACGACTATGTTCTTCCACTTTATCAATCTATAGACGTCATAAATGTCGATTGTATTCCGTAAAAGTTGTTCGAATGCTCAAACCAAACCAAACCGTCGAACCACGTTGACTGCCTCGCCCCACAATTAGGACTGCAGCATCAGTACGTCACGCACGAAAATCTATCGAATTCGTAAAGTAAATGTGTCCAGTCGTCGATTACGAAAACGAATTTTTTTTTTCCTACCTATGCTGATAGCCTTGAGAGGCTATTTCAGCTTCGCCCTAACATGTGGGTAGGCTCACGGGGCTCAAATCTGACGTCGTTGCTAACGCTGACCCTAGCAAGAGCAGTGCTTCGCAGAATCTACCACCGGATCGGAAACGCGACCCACTGAGAAGATCCGGCGAGAAGCTCAGTGGGCTGTATCTATGGGTTAATTCGCTCGTCGAGCCCTTCGTCGGTAGCGACGGGTTCGACGAGGGCGGTGACCGGAAAGCACGAAAATTAACGAATTCGTAATGTAAATGTATCGAGTCGTCGATACGAAAACGGATCATTACATTAGATGGTAGTACTCGATAAGACAGCCTTCGAGATTTACGTCACTGTATGTCAAAACAATTTTCGTGCTCTCGACCGGTCATCGTCCCCGCCGAACTCGTCGACTGCGACGAAGGGCTCGGCGAGTAAATTAACCCACAGACACAGCCCACTGAGTTTCTCGCCGGATCTTCTCATCGGGTCGCGTTTCCGATCCGGTGGCAGATTCTACGAAGCACTGCTCTTGCTATTGTTAGTGTTAGCAACGATGTCAGGTTTGAGCTCCGTAACTACTAGTTAAGGCTGAAATGGTCTCTCAAGGAGTCAAGACCTTAGGTGGGACAAACAAAAGTGCTCTCGATTATGAAAACGTGACGATGACGAAAGTAAGTGAATTCATTCGCGCTGCTGAAATTAATTCTTTTTACGGACGATAGGGGGCGCTGTTAAAATCCTGTAATTTTTTTCTCGATAGCGATACGGATACTCTTTCGATATTCATTCGTGCTCGCCCCTGCTCTAGCCGTGCGAGCTCCCAACATTATTAACTCGAACATTAAAACTTTACTAGTGGTCCCGCAGTAGTCGAAATTCGACTATAATTAATTGGAATTGTAAGTTTGTAAACTATTATGATTGTATTTTATACTTCTATAATCACAAATTTCGCGAAACTACACTATAAAAAACATTAACAAAAACAAACAATATTTAATCTATTCTCAATTTGACAACAGACGCCAAGAACAAAAGTTTGACAATAAATAGTATGCATGCGTGTGTGCGTCAAATACACGGTATGTAGTGTGTGTAATGTTTTCTTTATTGATTTAATGTATATTTTATGCATTATTTTAAGAAAATATTAGCATTGTGCACTTCTTCTCTATATTCTCTATAAGTGTGGAAAATTTCATACTCCTCCGTCCGCGCAATTTTCGTAAAAAGGGATACAAAGTTTTTGCTTCACGTATTAATACATAGATATTCCTCGCAAATTGTTTTAAACTTACGCAGCTATTTACGTTATAGGCCCTAATTGAAATTATATCCACATTTCATTAGTTCCCGGATATTTCAGCGCTGTACTATCAGACTTATGTTTCTTTGAACTCACTTTTCTTATCACAGGCAAACGTATTAATGTCTTACCTCATTAAATCACTATCACCTTGAAACGTATCTCGTATTTCAGTTTTATTATGGCGTAAAGTTACTCTGAAAGATTGTTACGAATTACAATTTTAAATACATATTAAAGGCGTATTCTTGTCAAAGATAAACTTAATTAGTTACACTTCGTTGGCTGTGTTTTTTTTTAACATTAACTAACCTGATCGAACTCCGCTACAACCATAGCTAATTGTAAAGAAAAACACCTTTCTTGTTTTAAATAAATTTCTTATAAAAAAAATTAAACCTATTCTTGTAATCTCGAGGGCTTATACTAGATTCACAGAATGAGTAGGTGAGCTCACGGGGCTCTACCTAATGAGGTTGCTAACACTAGCTCTAGCAAGAGCAGTGCTTCGCAGAATCTACCACCGAATCGGAAACGCGATCCACTGAAAAGATCCGGCGAGAAACTCAATGGGTTGTGTCTGTGGGCTAAATTGCTCACCGAGCCCTTCGTCGCAAGCGACGGGTTCGACGAGAACAATGACGGTGCTTGAGGTATCTAAAAACACCACACTAGGAGCAGGCTGAGGAACCCCGGTAACCGTACTCGTCGAACTCGACANTTCCCGGATATTTCAGCGCTGTACTATCAGACTTATGTTTCTTTGAACTCACTTTTCTTATCACAGGCAAACGTATTAATGTCTTACCTCATTAAATCACTATCACCTTGAAACGTATCTCGTATTTCAGTTTTATTATGGCGTAAAGTTACTCTGAAAGATTGTTACGAATTACAATTTTAAATACATATTAAAGGCGTATTCTTGTCAAAGATAAACTTAATTAGTTACACTTCGTTGGCTGTGTTTTTTTTTAATATTAACTAACCTGATCGAACTCCGCTACAACCATAGCTAATTGTAAAGAAAAACACCTTTCTTGTTTTAAATAAATTTCTTATAAAAAAAATTAAACCTATTCTTGTAACCTCGAGGGCTTATACTAGATTCACAGAATGAGTAGGTGAGCTCACGGGGCTCTACCTAATGAGGTTGCTAACACTAGCCCTAGCAAGAGCAGTGCTTCGCAGAATCTACCACCGAATCGGAAACGCGATCCACTGAAAAGATCCGGCGAGAAACTCAATGGGTTGTGTCTGTGGGCTAAATTGCTCACCGAGCCCTTCGTCGCAAGCGACGGGTTCGACGAGAACGATGACCGGTGCTTGAGGTATCTAAAAACACCACACTAGGAGCAGGCTGAGGAACCCCGGTAACCGTACTCGTCGAACTCGACAAAGAGGTCGACGTGCAACCTAACCCATGCATCAGCCCGCTGAGTTTCTCGCCGGATCTTCTCAGTAGGTCGCGATTCCGATCCGGTAGTAGATTCATTCGCGAAGCAATTGCTCTTGAGTTGTTAGGTCTCCTTCGGAGGCGCTCGGGCAGTTGTTAGCAAATCCCACCCCTCCTGGCTGAGCCTTTGCTCGCCCACCTGTCCTGGTGAAGCTGGAAAGGCCTCCGGGCCACCAGTAATCTTTCAATCATAAAAAAAAAACCTAAAAACACCGTTAGTGGATCGGGAGGATCCGTAATGACGTGTTTAGAGCGACGTCAACAGTTTACCATTCGGCCAGCAGTATCGGGTATGTATTTATTTCTTGTAGCTACTCACGCGCCACCTATCGTACTTAGATGGTACTTTTTATGACAATAAAAACGTTTTCTGAAGTATGTATAGCAACTGTACCAAGTTTCCTCACAATAGGNATCAGCCCGCTGAGTTTCTCGCCGGATCTTCTCAGTGGGTCGCGATTCCGATCCGGTAGTAGATTCATTCGCGAAGCAATTGCTCTTGAGTTGTTAGGTCTCCTTCGGAGGCGCTCGGGCAGTTGTTAGCAAATCCCACCCCTCCTGGCTGAGCCTTTGCTCGCCCACCTGTCCTGGTGAAGCTGGAAAGGCCTCCGGGCCACCAGTAATCTTTCAATCATAAAAAAAAAACCTAAAAACACCGTTAGTGGATCGGGAGGATCCGTAATGACGTGTTTAGAGCGACGTCAACAGTTTACCATTCGGCCAGCAGTATCGGGTATGTATTTATTTCTTGTAGCTACTCACGCGCCACCTCTCGTACTTATATGGTACTTTTTATGACAATAAAAACGTTTTCTGAAGTATGTATAGCAACTGTACCAAGTTTCCTCACAATAGGATGAACGGCTTAGAAACACAGAGATCAGATAATCATTAATTTTTACAACCTTGTTAAGGGAACTAGGAATACTGGAGGGTCTCTCTGGACACCTCAAGTTTTTTTCAATCCGACCAAATCCTTTTTTTTTCGGGCCGAGGGCCGAACCTCCTACGAGGTCAGCGCTTAGGGGGCACGCCAGGTATGTGGGAATGATCGGTGACTGCAAAACCGCGGGCCCAATGATGTTTTAGGACCCTACTCATTAAACGACTCCCCTGCACTCTTCGCCCAAGCGTCCGATCCCCTACGAGGTGAGAACCCAGGTAAGGAGGTTACCGCGGTCAACGCTACAACCAGACAACGCAGCTCACTCCAAAGACGCCCGGCCGACGGAGCCTTCGAGGCGAATCGAAGGCTCTGTAACGTCAGCCGCCTCGGTACGGCAGCGCGTCAGGCCGCCCAGACGGTGCCACTGATGTCTCGAAATACCCAGCTAGAACAAAACCAGCCTGCCGGGTCGGAATCAACCCAAATTCTACTTTCTCAGTTTTTTTTTTTTGCGATAGAATGTTCGCTGCCGGTCCTAGGGTCTTGCCGCATGGCTAAGACAGATGGGCCAACTGAAGATCGCAGTCAGGATGGGAAAAGTTACTCTTTAGGTAACACCAAGTGTCTCCATCAAATCATGAGTTGGGTTACTGTATTTTTAGTTTGCATCGGGCTTAAATCAAAGTGCTTGCGTACATCTAGTCCTAACAGAGGAGACTTTTTACTGGTGATAGGACCTTTTGTGAGTCCGCACGGGTAGGTACCACTACCTTGCCTATTTCTGCCGTGAAGCAGTGATGCGTTTCGGTTTGAAGGGTGGGGCAGCCGTTGTGCTGGACTGAGACCTACCATCCGGCTAGGAAATGAGCTCCCCTCCACGGTGTTTCCCGAGCGCTATGACATGTCCTTCTTCAAACGAGGCTTGTGGAGAGTATTAAGCGGTAGGCAGCGGCTTGGCTCTGCCCCTGGCATTGCTTAAGTCCATGGGCGACGGTAACTACTCACCATCAGGTGGGCCGTATGCTCGTCTGCCTACAGGGGCAATAAAAAATAAAATAAAATAAAACTCATATCTCATAATGGGTGACAGCATTTACGTTATTGTCGGCTATGTGCTCCGATGACGACTTAACAGCAGGTGGGACGTGAGCTCGTCCATCTATCTAAGCAAAAAAAAAGACAGTGACGAAATATACAACTATATATCACAGAGGAGACTCTGAATTTGACATGCAATATAAATACATGCCTTCAGATATATAAACAAGTTTCAAAACTAATCTCACTGCTAAGTGTTAGAATTCGATATCAAATAAATGTGTTATAACATTCAGTTTATTTATACAAGTGATACTAAAGGTACGTAATCGAAGGAATAAATGTATTTTATTTTATTTTATTTACTACATCAATATTAATATTGACTTATACTCGAGACAGTCATTAACAAAATGAGCACCGTACCGAAAACACGCGTTGTATTATATTAACATAATTGAAAACCGTTTTCAATTTGAAAGATTTTTAAAAGTACCTTCGGTTGCAACTTATTCGCTCGGTGCAATCTTACGAACTTATAGTCCAAAAGTGAATTTGATTTTGTTGGTCCGCGTTTTGAGTCTAAATTTTATCTTACAATCAAAGCGGTTCTCAATATTCAACAAGTGTCGGGTGCAAATACACAAAGGGCTTATTTTACAAGTGTTGTGCTTTTTAAACAACTTTATTTGCCTGTCTGTCTGTATTTGACTAGTGGTTCGGCGTGTACGCGTGTTTTCTTATCTCGTATCTTTAGCGTTTTATTTTATTTTATTGTAGAAAATTTCGTTTAGTTATTAAAGCATTTCGGTGCCACCATTCGAGTCAATTATACAAGTTATTTTTCGCACCATTTGATCAACAGTGAAATAGAAGAAGTATAGTCTTGTACTGGACACCTTATAGTATTGTTAATACGTAATTAAGAAGTACATATAAATAGTTTTATCTTGAAGTTGAGTAATTTAAAACATGCTTGTTTTAAGCCAGTTTCATAAATCAGCATTCGGACAAGTGAGTAATTTATTTGTATAAAAAAAAATTTTATTTTTCAAAACATGGATAGCACCCGTCTCCTTCGAGTGGTAACTGAAAATTTAAATGTTATAGTGTCGAACGGTAGACGTCCTCGAGCTGGACCCTTTGATATTCAGGTGCGATGAAAATCGTTTACAATCAATTTACTGGTGGTAGGGCGTCTGATGAGCCCACACGAGTAGGCGTCTGAAGGTACCACCACCCTGCCTATTTCTACCGTGAATCAGTAATGCGTTTTATCTTAAGCGGTGCGGCAATTATATTGTAAAAACTGAAACTTAGAAATTCATATCTCAAGATCGGTGTCGGTTCTTTTTTTCCCTACCTAAGGTGAGGGTCTAGAGAGACCATATCAGTGTCACCGGGCTAGTAGGTGAGCTCACGGGGCTCAAACCTGACGATGTTGCTAACGTGAACCCTAGCAAGAGCCGTGTTTTGCAGAATCTACCACCGGATCGGAAACGCGACCCACTGAGAAGATCCGGCGAGAAACTCAGTGGGCTGTGTCTGTGGGTTGATTTACTGGCCGAGCCCTTTGTTGCAAGCGACGTGTTCGACGAGAACGATGACCGGACGGGGTCGGCATTAACGCGGTTCAAGTCTACGGTTTCTTATGACAACTTAACTCTTGGCCGTAGACTAGTATTTTCTGTCCCGCGAGTCGTAGACATAAATGACACTATATTCACTATTTAATCGCGCGGATGATATTATCTTTTTTTTTATTGCTTATATGGGTGGACGAGCTCACAGCCCACCTGGTCTTAAGTGGTTACTGGAGCCCATAGACATCTAAAACGTAAAAGCGCCACCCACCTTGAGATATAAGTTCTAAGGGTCTCAGTATAGTTACAACGGCTGCCCCACCCTTCAAACTGAAACGCATCTGCTTCACGGCAGAAATAGGCAAGGTGGTACTTACCCGCGCGGACTCACAAGAGGTCCTACCACTAGTAATTAACATATTAACATTTCTAACGTTTGGAGTGCCTTACAATTTTGTCGAAATTTGAAAGTTTATTTAAAAAACTAACTTCGGTTTGAATGGTGGGGCAGCCGTTGTAACTATACTGAGACCTTAGAACTGATATCTCAATGTTGGTGGCGGCATTTACTTTGTAGCTCCGGTAACCACTTAACACCAGGTGGGCCTTCAGCTCGTCCACCCACCGAAGCAATAATAAAAAAAACCTAGGTATGTCTGGAAGCGGCTATAGCGCTATCAGGGAAAGGGTATCTATCTACTCATAAATTTTATTGAGGGGTGCGGGAAAGAAAAAAGTTTTGAACAGCAATGAAAATTGATATCTTAGTGCAATGTGATTTCATGGTCGCTTATTTATGGAAAGCAGTCGACGTCGCCCCAAACACGTCATTTCGGATCCTCTCGATCCACTAGCGGTGCTTCTAGGTACCTCAAGCACCGGTCATCGTCCTCGTCGAACCCGTCGCTTGCGACGAAGGGCTCGACGAGTAAATTAACCTTCAGACACAGCCCACTGAGTTTCTCGCCGGTTCTTCTCAGAGGGTCGCGTTTCCGATCCGGTGGTAGATTCTGCGAAGCACGTCTCTTGCTAGGGTTCGTGTTAGCAACGTCATCAGGTTTGAGCCCCGTGAGCTCACCTACTAGTTAAGGCGACGCTGATATAGCCTCTCAAGGCTATCAGCTTAGGTAGGAAAAAAAAACAGAAGGCGCTTAATTTTCTATTTAACAAATTTCACTGATAATGTCGCTCTTTTGATGACAAATAAATGACTGATAAATGACATTGAAAATAATTTGTTCTTTTTCTGTAAAAATTTAGATTCTCTGTAACATTACGGTAACAATGATAACCAATACACAATGTTTTTCGAATTAGTAATACATACGTGTAGTTTGTACGTCATCTTGACAACAATAATTATGTATGATGTGTAAAAAAAAAAAACTACGTGTAATATATTCATGTATATATTCTCCTTTATCAATGACACTGCATAATTATTATTATTATTATTAAATTCTTTTATTTCACATAATGATCCATGTAACTGTTAGTAACAGTATTTTTTTTAAAAATAAGTCAGTAAGGACACAATAATAAAAGAAAACAACAATACATATACTACATACGATTGCAGTAGCGGTTACTGGAGCCCATAAACATCTACAACGTACATACGCCACCCACCTTGAGATATAAGTTCTAAGATGTCAGTATAGTTACAACGGCTGCCCCGCCCTTCAAACCGAAAGGCATTACTACTTCACGGCAGAAATAGGCAGGGCGGTGGTACCTATCCGCGCGGACTCACAAGAGGTCCTACCACCAGTAAACCTCTCTGCAATGATTCAGAAAAGGTCCATCTAACTACCTGGAGCCACTGCGATCATCCACAGTGCGTTTCCAGAGGTCTTTTTTGCCACGTACCATCCGGCTATGGAATGAGCTCCCCTCCACGGTGTTTCCCGAGCGCTATGACATGTCCTTCTTCAAACGAGGCTTGTGGAGAGTATTAAGCGGTAGGCAGCGGCTTGGCTCTGCCCCTGGCATTGCTGAAGTCCATGGNGAGCTCCCCTCCACGGTGTTTCCCGAGCGCTATGACATGTCCTTCTTCAAACGAGGCTTGTGGAGAGTATTAAGCGGTAGGCAGCGGCTTGGCTCTGCCCCTGGCATTGCTGAAGTCCATGGGCGACGGTAACCACTCACCATCAGGTGGGCCGTATGCCCGTCTGCCTACAAAGGCAATAAAAAAAAAAAAAAAAAAAAAAAAAAATCTAATCTAGAAAATATCATGGCCAGGATGCTATTGGAGCTAACCCCTACCCTGCAGAGCAAGGACGCGCATCGCTTTCTTAATATGGCATAGAAATCGTCGGTGCGCGCCTCCGCAAACATGCTCGATGCGCTGCAGAATCGAGGCAGCCGACGTTTCAGAGCCATCGATTCGCCTCGAAGGCTCCGTCGGCTGAGCGTCCTTGGGGTGAGCCGCGCTGTCTGGTTGTAGTGTTGACCGCGGTAACCCCCCCTACCTCATCCGGGTTCTGGCCTCGGAGGGGATCGGACGTCGAGTGTAAGAGTGCAGGGGAGTCGTTTAGTGGGTGGGCCCTAAAATCCTTGAGCCCGCGATCTGCTCTCAACACCTGCAGATCGTTGAGTCTCACATATCCCGAGCGCCCCTTATGCGCGGGGACCTTGTAGAAGGTTCGGCCCCCGGCACGAAAAAAAAAAGGCGTTATACTGCTTTTGCAAAGTAATTAATGACGCTCGCTTCATGCGATTAACAAACATTCTTAATAGACGCCAGCGGTTCCTTTTTTTCCTACCTATGCCGATAGCCTTGAGGGCTATTTCAGCTTCTCCTTGACGTGTAGGTGAGCTCACGGGGCCCAAATCGGGAGTGTTGCTAACGCTGGCCCTAGCAAGTGAAGTGCTTCGCAGAATCTACCACCGAATCGAAAACGCGACCCACTGAGAAGATCCGGCGAGAAGCTCAGTGGGCTGTGTCTATGGGTTAATTCGCTCGTCGAGCCCTTCGTCGCAAGCGACAGATTCGACGAGGACTGTTACCGGTGCTTGTGATGCCTAAAAGCACCATTAATGGATCGGGAGGATCCGTAATGACGTGTTTAGGGCGACGTCGACTGTTTACTTATCGGTCTACAGAATCGGGTATGAAGCGGTTCTGACACTAAGATCAGACATAGGGACCCTGATAACCGTACTCGTCATTTTTTTTTATTGCCCTTGTAGGCAGACGAGCATACGGCCCACCGAGAATCGTATCGAAGAGTTCGACGTGAACTTAGACCATAACATCAGCCTGCTGAGTTTCTCGCCGGATCTTGTCAGCAGATTCCGATCTTTGCATTAGATACATTGGCGAAGCAGCTGCCCTTGAGCTGGTTCTTCTTTGAAGGCTGTTAGTAAATCGCACCCCTCTTGGCTGAGCTCGTTCTCACTCACCTGTCCTAGCCTTCAAAAGGCCTTCGGGCCATCAGTCACCAAACCCAACATCACCATCATCATCATTCTAAAAAAATGTACTCGTATCGAGCGATACCACTGGGCCGGTGATAAAATCTCGCAGGTAGGCACCAATTTTGCTGAAAAACGACGCATATAATAAACATATATTCGCGAATGACTTCCACAATGAAGGAATGGCAGGACGTATTGTGGGCTTGCACGGGTAGGTACTACCCTGCCAATTTCTGCCGTGAAACAGTAATATGTTTCGGTTTGAAGGATGGGGCAGCCGTTGTACTATACAATCGGTAGGCAGCGGCTTGGCTCTGCCCCTGGCATTGCTGAAGTCCATGGGCGACGGTAGCCACTCACGATAACTCTTTTACCATTCCTATTACGTTTAAAATCTGAACAAACGAAGCAGGGCCAGATACCGCGCAGTGTCATAAAATAAATCTCACTGAAGGCATCTGGGTGTGTAACTTTTTAATGCACCATTGAAATCCATATTACAATATTATCGTGAAATAATAGAACTGTGTAATTTATGATTGCGTGATTATTTACGGTCTATTTTATTTAATATTATTATTTTGCGCAATTATTTACGGTCTATTTAATCTAATATTATTTTATTTAATATTTCACTGCACACATATCAGTGGACGAGACCAGCATTCCGAAACAATTACTTAATCTGCGGCAAAATGGATGGCTGCATAAGTTGTGGCAGACCAGAACTCGAATTATTCGAGTCTCGAATGGTTAGATGGCATAGAACAGGATCTTAAAGGGATTAGTTTTAAGAACTGGAAAGAGAAAACCATTAATTGGGAAATCTGGAAAGACGTACTGGACCAAGCTAAGGCTCACCTTGGGCCTAGGATGATGATGAAAAATGAAAAAAAAAAAAAATGCCACCACGAATCTGGTGGTATGGATTCGAAGTCGTGTATGGTAAGATTGTCCTGCCCTTCAAATCAGAACGCATGACTGCTTCACGTCAAAAACATTCGGGACAGTGGACTATAGCTGGCTAATTATACGCCCACTTTACCCAATATACATATACCCCCAATATACATATTTGATTTGATTCACAATGAATACGATAAAACGTCCCGACTTAGATATAGCTATTCCGATAAAATTTGGTTACCTCCACGGAACTTCGAATAAGGATCGGGTACAATACAAACATAATTTACCCACCTCGTAAAGATTTCTCGGATGCAAACAGAAAACTTGTAAAGTAAATGAACATTCGGTAGGCAGCGGCTTGGCTCTGCCCCTGGCATTGCTGAAGTCCATGGGCGACGGTAACCACTCACCACCAGGTGGGCCGTATGCACGTCTGCCTACAAAGGCAATAAAAAAAAAAACATTCATTAAAAGATTAAAATGTAACCTCTAGGTACTGTTTTGTCGCCAATTTGAATAGTTTCTTTTAATTATAACGATAAGTGAAGCGCGCATGGAAACCGAACTAAAAACATTTTATTTCTAACTAAAAAGTCATTAAAACAAACTTGTATTCAACAAACTTGTATTCAGCTGAAAACAATGTCAATTCTATTACCGGTCCTAAAAACGAGCTACTTATTCTGAAAAGAAACGGAAAGACAAACACGGTGACTTTGTTTCGTAACTGATAATATAATTTCGTTTTTATTCTTTTATAAGCGCATTACATTACGTTAGGTAATCGTTTATATTATTACCTTTTTATTTATTTATAGAGCAGATAAATGAACGAGTTTACTGTACGTATAGCTCTAAGCGGTTAGCGAAGGCTCCGCATGATAACTCTAAGCCTCGCTTGAGGAAGTGTTATAATCCTCATGACACTACGCGGATTGCAGAATAAGACAGCGCATGCCAAAGATGATATTTGGAAACGCAATTTTTTTTCCTACCTATTCGACTACGCACGGACGAGTAGGTGAGTTCACGGACTCAACCTCAAAGAAACTGCTAACACTGGCCCTAGCAAGAGCAGTGCTTCGCTGAATCTACCACCGGATCGAATAGCGACCCAATCCCGCGATAATCCGTCGAGGAATTCAGTGGGCTATGTTTTTTTTTATGTGGACGAGCTTATGGCCCACCCGAGCTCATAGACATCTACAACGTAAATGCCGCCACCCACCTTGAGATATGAGTTCCAAGGTCTCAGTACAGCACAACGGCTGACTCACCCTTCGAACCGAAACGCATTACTGCTTCACGGCAGAAATAGGCAGGATGGTGGTACGTACCTGCGCGGACTCACAAGACGTCCTACCACCAGTATGTATATGGATTAGTTCGCTCGTCGTAATCGAAGAGATCGACTGGAGCTTTGACCAGGAAATTGACTTCTTGTCGCTCAAAATCTTTTCGTTTTGTGTTATGTTGTTGTTGTTGTTGTTCTGTGTGCTTAGTGCGAGTTTCTTAACGTTCTCGATAGCGTAAAAGTTAACCCAATTTTGTATGCAGTTGGAACAGCGCCCCTAGCGGCAAACGTACGCAAACGATCCCATTCCATACAAATATGAGCTAACTTTTACACTATCTACCCTCAGACAGCCCACTGAGTTTCTCGCCGGATCTTCTCAGTGGGTCGCGTTTCAATCCGGTGGTAGATTCTGCGAAGCACAGCTCTTGCTAGGGTTCGTGTTAGCCACGTCTTCAGGTTTGAGCCCGTGAGCTCACCTACTAGTTAAGGCGACGCTGATATAGCCTCTCAAGGCTATCCGCTTAGGTAGGAAAAGAAAACTTTCGAGAACGTTAAAAAACTCGCACTAAGCACACTGGAACCATTCGCTTACCGACGAGCAACATTGTGTTTTATTGAAATACATTGTTTAGATTTTAAAATACCATAACATTACTACTACATTGTAAGTACACGATAAACAGCAAACCCGCAATCACTATCTTTGTTAAAATGCTTGTTTTGTTCGGAGTTTGGTTTTTTTTTTATTGCTTAGATGGTTGGACGAGCTCACAGCCCACCTGGTGTTAAGTGGTTACTGGAGCCCATATACATCTACGACGTAAATGCGCCACCCACCTTGAGATACGTTCTAAGGTCTCAAGTATAGTTACAACGGCTGCCCCACCCTTCAAACCGAAACGCATTACTGCTTCACGGCAAAAATAGGCGGGGTGGTGGTACCTACCCGCGCAGACTCGCAAAAGGTCCTACCACCAGTAAATTGTTATTAAACTAGTTATTTGTTCATGTCCCGTGCTCCCGATATTAGATCACATGAAAAATAACGGGGTCATTGTTTGAATATGCTACATTAACTCTTAGGAAACGGCTCCATTGACCGGGTGTTAATAAGTTTATGTAGTCGATATAGTCTGGACGCTAACCTTTTGATTTATATTTCAGTTCCGCGTGGTGCTTTCCGTGTTACTACACTCTTTAATATTCGGAATATGGCAAAGATTAATCTGGTGGCTGGATAAGAGAAACGAGCAAATATTGAAACCCATATGGATCACGGATGCCTACGGTAGCAAAATAATTACTTGATATATCTAATACGGGTTCTAGCTTTATTATTTGATATAATGGCTGACTTTTCATTGTTTATGGTCTGTTGACTTATCGAGCGCCATGATTGCGATGTTTAGCCACGACAAGTTTTGGTTGGCGATTTCCCACTTAGGCTAGTGAAGTGGGCGTAAGAGAGTTCTCTTCTCTCCGCACTCACTCAAACCCTTCGCCATCGAGGTCACCATTGGTATCTCATTCAACTTCGGACCCCTCCAATTTAACCATTAATCTATTACCATATGTACCTATCATGTATTCACGATCTCTTGAAGGGTACAGACCTCTTTATAAGCAATGGTTGTAATGAAAAATAATTGTACAAATAAAATACAATAGATTATAAATTATTAATACAATTATGTACGTCAATGAGTAATGAAATATTAGACATTGAGTGACGTCAGATGTTAATATCTCTAGAAACAGTAGGTATTATCACAGAGCAACTTCCGCGTTGAAGTAACAAAATCATGGTTACATAATTTTTAGAGTAATCTATTTAATCGTAGTTTAGTTATGTATGATGTATATGTTTATTTATATGTAATTGTGTATATATGTATATATATACATTTTATGTATGTATTTGTAACTTAATATAAATTTCATTGCACCTACCACTATTTACTCCGCATTACCTTTGGTTGACTGGTAGAGAATGTCTTAGGCATTAAGTCCGCCAATGTAAATTTTACATGAAGTGTAATAAATAAATAAATAATAATTGAGACTAGGACCTCGTGCCTCAAGATAGGTAATGCTATTGGGGTTATGATTTCTATGAGTTTAGGTAACCACTTAAAAAACTTGCTCCGGGACCTTGTCTGGCTATCTACAGTAGCCATACGGAATAGCCGCATTCATAGTAACTCAACACAAAGCTATAATATAATAAAACATTTTTTTTGTAATTTCAGAACAAAACACGAACTTCGCTGCGATATTAGGATACTGTTTGGGAACGATGCTAATGAAAACCGGAAGAAAACTTGGATTCGCTATCTTAGCAGTTTCCCAGGGGATTATTATGATAATTATTTTATACACATCGACCAAAGAGGTCAGCGTTTACATCAAACATTACTTCGCTCTGAATGAAGCGGCTATGGTTGTACTCACCGCTTGCTTATTAGGAGAATACATTCATCCCAATTGCAGAGCGGGGTGTATTTTCCTACAAATATCGGCGCTGCGTTTTGGTAACGCGCTATCTATAATTTTACATAAATTCTTTTATTTCGACACGATTGCATCGCTCTGTCTATTTGTGCAATGTATTTCGTGTCTATGCATAGGTTTTACGCAAGACCTGAAACCTATCGGTGACATGTGCGACAGTGAAGATTACAAGTTGGTCAATTATGAAAACGGTTCGAATAAATCGCTTCGATCGTATTCGAGAACTTCGACAATTTACAATTACCTGATCAAGCCGATAATCATAATTACTTTTAGTTTTATATTGTCAGAAGGAAGTGGACGCAGCACATCGTCCTATATGAATTTTTTTGAAACCAAAATGAGCGATATTTCCTATGTGTACTACAGCGATTTAATCTTCTCAATTGTGTTTTTGATTTCGTCGGTTTACCTTACATTTGGCGGGAGTTTTCGCTCCTTACTTTTTACCATGGGACCCACGGCTATCAGTGTATTAGGCATCGTAAGCGTTCTTTCCTTTTTACAAGCAAACACAATTATATCACTTGACCAATATTTAATACCATGTCTGATTTTCATTTATTTTGTGGCCGCTTTTTTCGTGTGCACGTATTTACCAACAATACTAATGGCCGAAATAATACCAATGAAATACAAAGGTACCTGTCTATTTTTATCAAATATCATCGGTTTTTTGATTACGAAAATTAGTATTTATGTATTCCCTCATCTAATTGTAAACGTTAAATTGTATGTCGTCTTAATTGTTTCTCTAATCATTGTTACATTTTGTTTGTTGGTTCTGTATTTTATATTACCCGAAACTAGAGGTAAAACTCTGAAAAACATTGAAGAACGCATCGTGAACATTGGCATTAATATCTGCTTTCAAAATATAGACTATACAATGGATAATGAGAAATATATATGTTATCCAAAATTGACAGACGGAAATAAATTCGACTGTTTCGAGTAACAAAGTTTTTCTTCTTAGTTTTTTTTTACTGTTGGCTTACACACTAGAATTCACGGCCACTTGTAACTAAATGATTACCAATTTTCATATATACAAAAACGTCAATGCCGAAGCTTATATTGAAGCATAATTTCGAATTAAAAACTAAGCCCCCAAAATGTGAGACAATATTAAATACACACCATATTTTACGGCTTACACGCCCGTGCGGTAGCAGATTGTCCTGGGGTTCAGTAGGTTAGAGGATAAGCATTTAAAATTACAATTTAATTACGCCCACAATTCAAAAGACGAGCGCCAGGGCTCGTCTTGACGCGTATTAGTGCATTCTTGATATTGTAATAAAAATGTTTTTAAATCACGTAAGTAGAGTTAAGAATTCGTAGAATGTAAAGTTAAATGAATACTATTCATCGCTCATGTATGTGTAACGGTAAAATATTTTAGTTATTAAATTAATTAACCAAAGAACGCCTTTTTTAAATTTCGTAATATCTAAATTATAAAAACTAATGTATTTATTAATAGACTTTTATTACTCACCCCCACCCTTACCTTATGTTCCAGTTTAATACATTTTTTTTATATTTATTGCCAAGATACGAATACGCGGACGAACTCACGGCCCACCTGGTGTTAAGTAATTACCAAAACCCATAGACAACGTAAATGCCGCCACCCATCTTGAGACATAAGTTGTAAGGTCTTTAAATCAAAATGCAATTAACTTATTTAACTGCTTCGCGAAAGATGACCGGTGAGAGAAAAGGCAGGTAAGTTGCGAGTTAGATAGGCAGCGGCTTGACTCTGCCCCATCCTGTCCGGGCATCGTTCTCGTCGTACCCATCACTTGCGACGAAGGGCACGACGAGTAAATTTACCCACAGACACAGCCTACTGAGTTTCTCGTCGATCTTCTCAGTGGGTCGCGTGGATTCTGCGAAGCACGGCTCTTGCTAGGGTTCGTTTTAGCAACGACGTCAGGTTTGAACCCCGGTGAGCTCACCTACTAGTTAAGGTTACGCTGAAATAGCCTCTGAAGGCTATCAGCTTAGGTAGGGAAAAAAAACTGCCCCATTTTGTGGCATTACCGACGTCCATGAGCGGCCATTGAAGAACCTAAAAGCAGCCAGGTAGCAGATTGATGTCGAGGGTCGACTTTTGTTAGAACACCATTTTGCTGAATTAGGCAGCCAGGCGCGAGAGAGCGTTCTTCTCTCTCTATACCAGAGATCGGCAAACTTATTAGCCAAAGAGCCAAATATGCAAATTAAAACGATTTAAAAAAATTGAGAGCCACATCTGTTTTTTTTTTATTGCTTACATAGGTGGACGAGCTCACAACCCACCTGGTGTTAAGTGGGTACTGGAACCCATAGACATCTACAACGTAAATGCGCCACCCAGCTTGAGATTGAGCTTCTAAGGTCTCAAGTATAGTTACAACAGCTGCCCCACCCTTCAAACCGAAACTACGGTTGTACGGTTACTGCTTCACGGCAGAAATAGGCAGGGTGGTGGTACCTACCGGTGTGGACTCACAAGAGGTCCTACCACCGGTAAAAAAGTTTAAGTTTAAGTAAGTATGAAGTCGTCGTGGCCTAAAGGATAAGACGTCCGGTGCATTCGTATGTAGCGATGCAACGGTGTTCGAATCCCGCAGGCGGGTACCAATTTTTCTAATGAAATACGTACTTAACCATTGTTCACGATTGACTTCCACGGTGAAGGAATAACATCGTGTAATAAAAATCAAACCCGCAAAATTATAATTTGCGTAATTACTGGTGGTAGGACCTCTTGTGAGCCCGCACGGGAAGTACCACCGCACCGCCTATTTCTGCCGTGAAGCAGTAATGCGTTTCGGTTTGAAGGGTGGGGCAGCCGTTGTAACTATACTGAGACCTTAGAACTTATATCTCAAGGTGTGTGGCGCATTTACGTTGTAGATCCAGTAACCACCAGGTGGGCTGGTTCCAGTAACCACTTAACACCAGGTGGGCTGTGAGCTCGTCCACACATCTAGGCAATAAAAAAAAAGTTAATAGGGAATAAAACACAACATATAAATTCATGATACGTGTTTTTAAACTCATTCGTTTATCACGAATTTACATACACATACATAATTATACATAACACATCATAATTATTAAAACATTTCCATTTGTATACTCTGAGATTTCCATTAAAAAATCCTTTGAAAAAAATATAATTCTATACATGTCAGTATCTCCTATATTCTACTATCGAAACGACAATTAATCAATAAACTGTCATCTTTGACACTGACATATCTGACGTAACGCTCCCGCTGTCAATCACAAGTTCCATTCGTGTTCTATACTGACAAACAATTCAAATATGTACATCCACGTATATATATATTTCTCTTCAACAAAACATAAGACAGCACGATATCATATATCTATCAACGAGGGAGAGTTTCGTGAAGCTTAAATTTAAATACTGTTCATTCAATTTCCCATGTTCATTACAATAAAAATGTGACGTCAAAATATATCGTTAATTATAAATGTTTGGCAACGTCATCAACGCCTGCACTGATATAAGATCGTGCAATCAGACAAAATCAACTTCAAAGAATACCGTATTAGTTTATAAGATAATCTTGTAAACTTCTCATTCCCGATCCTGCGGACATAATGGAAAGCAGTCGACGTCGCCTAAAACACGTCATATCGGATCCTCCCGATCCACTAACGGTGCTTCTAGGTACTTAAAGCACCGGTCACCGTTCTCGTCGAACCCGTCGCTTGCGACGAAGGGCTCGACGAGTAAATTAACTCTCAGACACAGCCCACTGAGTTTCTCGCCGGATCTTCTCAGTGGGTCGCGATTCCGATCCGGTGGTAGATTCTGCGAAGCACGACTCTTGCTAGGGTTCGTGTTAGCAACGTCGTCAGGTTTGAGCCCCGTAAGCTCACCTACTAGTTAAGGTTCCGCTGGAATAGCCTCTCTAGGCTACCAGATTAAACAGAAAAAAAAAAAAGTAAACTTCTATGAAAAAGTTTCTCAACTTAAAGTGGAGTAACAAGAAACACGCTACAAACATATAGCACTATATTCATAGTCTTAAAGTACAATATAGCATCAAGATCAATAACTTATCATTGAATTATTATTATTTATTAACCAAAACTAAACACCACATTTGTTGTCTGTTAGACAACGGAATATATAAAGTATTCGGGACGTTGGAGATAATATTATATGATATATTAACAATAAACGCGAGATTAAACTGAAGAAGTAGTTTTAATCCATTGAGCGCGAAGCGTCGATAGATCGACTGTTTATTTTTGCATATAAAGTGCGGAGCGTCGGAATACAGACTATTGCGCAGTTCGATTAGAAGTGTCTTAGCGCGCTCACGCATAACGTTTTTAATAATTTAATAACATTTATAAATAACCATTTAAAATTATTTTGCTTTGAATTTAGCATTGACTGAATTATGATTCTGTGTACACACTTAATTAATAAGATACTCTTTCTTTTTCAAAAAATCTTTTATCAAAATATATGAAAAGAAGTTCAGCTCTAAATGGAACCCGAAGGCAAATATTTAGCGGCGGCCGTAACGCGCACATCTGATTTTGGCGTTGACATTTGCCTCTATCCCATTTCGAAGCTACGAAAAGAAATAATGTTAAAATTCTAATATTATATTAATCAACAAATTCGGGTACATAGTAATTATTATATTGATTTAGAAATAATTTCAAATACGGATATAATATCAGGTACGCGAGTCTTTTCGACAAATTCCTTGGGCGCTCCGTGGACCATGGACTTATCGCAAATTACCAGATGCATAACCGAAACCTATGGCCTTAACCGACATGAACGCTATGAAACTTAAAAGTTACAAAATCTGTTAAGAGAACATATTGTTTATAATAAATATCCTTTGGTTTTCTACAAATATGTATTTCACTTGATAAGGTCATAAACAAACATGAAAGACAATAAGTAATCCTAACACGCTAAATAACCATTACCAGGCTAAATTTAAATGATTTTTGGACGAATTCCTTACAACTGTTTATTTATATTTCCGTTATATTATTATATAAATTAGTATTATGCGTATTATTGCCATTTTGTTTTAGAATTTTAAAAAAATACGTGTGGCACTCGAGGACTGCCGCGGTAAAGCTATTGCATAGCATTTTTTATCAACTTAAGCAATTATATATAGACAATAATAATTTAATATTAACACAATAATACAATAAGACCACGCCATATTTATAAACATTACCAAAAGCAAAACATTAACTGTCCCCTTCACACTCATAAACCAGACCGCGCGAGAAAGAGATGGGCAGATTTTTCATGATGCGCATGCAGTGCGACGTCACGCCGCGCGCTTATTAACAAACACTGCACAAGCGCAACGTGTGAATGTGTTGAACGCGATCTACATGGTAAGCGGAGTGGGGGGTGTTAGGTTTTATTTTCGTTACGGAATTTTTTGATTCGGTCGCCGCGCTCAAAGCCCGCGATAAAAGCTATGCAATAGCTTAAAAATATTTAATGAGAAACTCATTCAGAAGACGCACTTCAGTCGTTATATTTAATACGTTTAAATTAAAATGTTAATTCGATAGAAGATTAAGTTTTGTAAAAATAGTATTGCAAATTGAAAATCATGACATATTTTCACATAATTCTAGTTTCATTGTGAAACTACTTTAACCTTATGACTGCCGTGTCGGTCATCAGTGACCTACGCGGCGCACTGAAGTAATCATATCGATTTGTGTTACTAAGCGCATGGATTACCTAACTTTGTTTTGTTTCTCTTGTTTTTAATTTACGTTTTAATCTTTTAGATATCTTAGAGATAGATTCGTTCTCACTGTCTTCGGATTCGGCTTCCCCAGAATCTACTATACTCGTAGATATTTTGTCGCCTTAGTAAGAACGATGAGAGAAATCTATATATTAATACGTGAAGCAAAAACTTTGTACGCCTTTTTAGGAAAATTGCGCGGACGTAGGAGTATGAAATTTTCCACACTTATAGAGAATATAGAGAAGGCGTGCAGAATGTTAATATTAGTTTTAATTATGCTTAAAAATACTTTAAATCATTAAAAAAACATTACATACACTACCATGTATCTGACACACACACGCATGTATACTATTTGTTTATTGTCAAACTTTTCTTATTGCTTAAAGTCTGTGGTCAAATTGAGAATAGATTAGATATTGTTTGTCTTTACTAATATTAGTATATAGTGTAGTCTTGGCGAAATCTGTGATTATAGAAGTATTAGTATAGAATAGTCTTTGACAATAGAATCACATCAGTGTACAAAGTTATAAGTTTAATTAATTATAGTCGAATTTCGACTACCAAGGGACCACTAGTCAATGTAATTACTTCAGTGCGCCGCATAGGGCACCGGTGACCTACATGGCAGGCAAAAGGATCCTTATTAATTTAACTATATGAAAAGAGTATACACCGGC